ACTGAATAATCCTCAACAAAACTTACAAACATTTCATAGAAAAATGCAATTCAAACGACAGCCAGTTTGATGCCACAATATCTTGCTGGAGCACGAGTTCTACGCGTGATTTTATTGCGTTCAAAATTGTTCAATTTCAAACTGCGCATGCACACACACTGTGGTTCCTGGAAATGCATTTTAATTAGTTAACTTGTCACTGAGAGAAACAATAATAAAAATTATAGTGAAACATAAACGTGCCTCTGCATTCTCCATGAATTTCGTAACTTGATCAGTGTAAAGAAAAAGCATGTGGTTACTTTCAACAGTTTGCTGGAGTCAAAATCATCTCTCAAAAAACACCTTTACATAAGTTTTTCGATTATTCTTTCAGCTTGTAACGATATAATCAGTCAATTTAGAACTAACATTTATGCTACCGGAAATCATTTTGGCACAATTTTACTGAAAATACGAGTTTTTCATTGTTCATGTACATTAATTTGTGAACGTGAGACGATTATTTCGACCAATCCTGTCATGCAACTCCCCTCTGGAATACTCAGTACCTCTAATACAAAACGCGCGTGTCTTTGGAACGTTTTCTCTGTGTTTCGCGCATTGTACCACGAGGAAAGGTTGACATAGTCGACATTTGCATAACTCAAGCGAAGAACTGATCAACGTTCTTCCGAGTGTGTTTTATCACGTATTAATTAGTAAGAAGTTGTCCAAAATATGTTGAAATATTTGATTAAGTTCAAATGTCAATCTTATTATAATTAGAGTTCCACTCGGTTTAGTTACTGAAAAAGGTGGAATAAAAATAATCCCACCATAGTATTAAGGCATAATGAAAGTCGCATCTTGAATCAACGTATTTTAAGTGGACGGAAAAATAAATGGAAATGATCTTAACTTGGTCCCATAACTGAACCAACACAGGAAAAAAAGAATGCCGAATAAAAATAATATATCTTTCCAAAAAAATAAGTTTTTATAAGCAAATAGTTCCTATTTCAGATTCTCGACCAAACAAGGGTAGTGAGAGTTGTATTTCTAACATTAGTGTTATCTTTTGATGTTTAATATATTGGCTAACCAATATTCTATACATTTTGATGGATTGTTGTTTTCCAGTGACGTGTAAGTTTGAATAAACATAAGTTTGAATAGAGATGACACTTTTAACGTCAAAAAGACGTTGAATACTGCATTTCTGTAATTGTATTTGGTGAAAATACACAACACACTGAATAGTAGACATGACTCTACTTCTATGATGGCTAATATGACGGTTCATTGCATTTTATTTTACCATTCAGTTGAAAACATATGCGTGGTTTGTACTGTAGAACACAAAACGTGTCGACCCCGGAATTTTGAAAGTCTCGTGGTTACTGTCGAATCGAGGTACTGAGAATTTTTCTGTGTTCAACATTGAAATCCGTTGCCATTGGCGATGGATCATTTTATTTGATTTTTGTATTAAATACTTGTTACCTCATAATTTTTTTTAAACAAATGCTGAATTCATCGAGTTATAAACATAACCACGCCTACAATTTAAATTTCGATATTCAATTAACAGTTAACCAAACATCGAGTTAAGGGCAGCATGAATTGCTTATGTTGTTTAACGCCCACGTTACGGGCAACGTAACGTTTTTGTTTAGTTTAACGTATCATGTTTCCCGTAACTCGGTTAACACTTATTTAAAATTCGATTCATTAAATTTGAATGTTAAACAAAACAACAAAAATATCTAGGCCGTAACTCTGTATTGGGTTATCTGTTTATTAAATTTAGAGTTACTAAATATGGACGTTCAAACAAAGACAAAATATATATTGCCCGTAACTCGAAGTTCTGTTAACTGTTAATTGAACATCGAGTTACATTTTGGGCGTGGTTTCTGAAATATGGGCGTGGTCATTTTTCTAACTCGATGTGCGTAACTCGAACAATTCAGTATCTGTCTCGTTTCGCATAATTTGTGGAATAAACACAATGGCGGCGCCTATTGCCGGGCGTGCACAGTTTTCAAACTCTTAAAGTATATAGATATTCTCACTCTTACTCTTACTTACATCTGCAAGCTTTTACAGCGAGTACCGAAGGTAAAAAAAAAGGACGACACTAATTTCATAAAACCGACACTCCGTGTCAGTTACGTCTGACTACAAACACCAACTCACTAATTAACAATCATCCCACTGTGAACAGGGATATTTCACTCGTCCGATTTAATAAATACCGCCGTTAGATCACTAATCACTTCGAAACATGCTCTGTTCGACGCCATTGACAAGTAAAGACAGAGCCCTCTTGTCCCTGATAGGCTAATAAAGTGGGCGCTGACTTGTGTGAACAAAGTGGGTTTCGTCTATCAGAGTTGTTATAGGTGGATGGCTCGTCAGGTTGAATAGAGGGGAGGCAAGGTGGTAGCTGGTACGGTTTTACGGGAAATAAAAAGGGCTTTTTACAATTTACAAGGGAAAAAAAGACGTTTTTACAGTTTAGTGTTAAAAAAAAGGAACATTGAATGGTCCGAAGAGCTCTCCGGCTCAAATTCTCCGCCATTGCTGCGCCGTGTGTAGAGATGCACGCGCATATTACCCTCGTAATGCTCTTCATTCGGTTAGAGTGCCTTTTACGTCTTGACAGTCAATTTTGTAGTGAATTGTGTCATCTAGTCGTTTTACAGTTTCTATAATGTAATTTCCCTGGATTATTCTTTACGATTTTTTTTATTTGGATGTAAATTCTTGTACGTACTGAGAAAAATGACACATTATTACAGTGTACGAAAAAAATAGTTGATCGATTACGTTGTACGTCTAGCCTGTGATTACAGAATTACGGAATTTATTTTTTCAATTTACGTAGTACGAACAAAAAATATTGCAATTACGTTGAACGAAAATAACCCTTGCCCCCCCCCCTGAAGTGGTTGTAACACGGAATGGGTAACTCGCATCGCAGTGAGTGGTACACTAGGATCGCTCGACACGTATACGCACCAATCCAGTCATAAGGACATCAGCAGTATAGTACAACCAGATATTCATTACAACTACAATCGTCACCATATGCTCCCTGTCCTATTCTTTACTATCACGCTAGAAGACAGTGTTAATCGTTGCATGCGTTGTCATGACGGCATGATATGTGAACTCCACCACTGAGGGCGTCGCCCCATAACATGCCAAATAACGAGTCCAAATGTCGACGCGTCCAATCAGCGGCAAGTTGGGCATTTTTTTAGTATTTTAATCGATATTTGCACCATTCCTCAGTTGGATTTATTAAAATACTGCGATTTTGTAGCTTCAATTTTAGTCCCCGTTTGTTCAGGCGCAGGCTGAAAGGCGCTCTATAGTTTCTAATTTCTACTTTCCGTCCGTCTACCTCCCTTTATATCTCCAACATTTTCTCAGAAATTCTGCAGCAGATATCAATGAAACTTGGCAAGTTGATGAATAAGTCTCTTTTGAATATGCACCCAATTTTTTTTCCAGATCCGAAAATCCTAAGTGGGTCTTTTTCGCAATTGTCATCCAAAATAACCGCTCCCTACAACACTGACAGAACAACTGAGCATGCTCAGAATAAATAATTAGGTTAGATAGTAATGCTAGGGTTATCAATGACAGAAATGGACCACAATATGCATGAGTATGTATATGAGACCACGGTTACTATTTTTTAGTAACCGCGATGAGACATAGTTTGGTTACACTTGTGTACTCTGAGATTTTGGACATGGGTCAATGGGAGTTATTAAGGTAGCGAGAA